AAAAAAATTGTTATACGCCCATGAGGGGCCATAGGGACAGAACTAAAACGCGCTCAGACAGACATGACCATGCACAACATACACGCAATTTCAGCCGCAACGATATCCTATGTGACAATACTCTTTATTGGTAAGCTTACCCAATCGGCCAACAATGTTAGGTCAAGGATGAGAGAGGGTTGCTTTTCAACATAGAAATGTTGCCACAACGGTGCGTAAAAAGGGGATTCAATGTTGCCTTAATGTTGAAATGAAACACAGTTCAACGTTAATACGATCACGTGTCCCGTTGTGCCAGCGTTGAATTGTCAGCGTTTGGGAATTACCTCCTCCTTTTCCTAAACATTCGCACGCGCAAATATTGATTAGAGCTTGAAAGTACTCAAATGAATGTCGTTATTTCACGGAAAGGTCCTTCTGAGGTTGTACCTTCCTTGACTGGATCAGAACTCGAGTTTAGTATTTGAATGCCGCAAATCATTCTCTCCAGCAAGGGAGTAACGTGCCTGGCATCACCATCGGCCCCCTGTTTTATCGCCCATGCAGGATGAAAGTGAGACACACTCTCGCAGGCCGGTGAACGTACTGTCATTCCCGAATGAGATACGAAAGAGATATCAGAGCCCAGGCCTTTTCCGGAGTCTGAAAGCGTGCTGATAATGATTAGATTGACAGGATTGATTCGAGTACAATTAGCCCATGAAGGGTCCATCCGAGTAACTTCCTTTACTGGATCAGAAATGTTCAGTTCTTAAATGATACAACTCATTCTTTCACCCATGTCTCAACTTTTCAACTGCTTGTCAGTGTCGACCGAACGTTGTTCCGCAGAATGGGTAGAATGTCTGTGGCACCCAGACCTGCAATGGATCTTTGAAATAGGTCTAGACCTAACATAACATTCAGCTTGACCTGGTCTCACATGATTTCATGTGATCTTCTCTTCCTTTCTCTAACCTGTTCGTTAGGAAAAAGTCAGCAAAATCCTTAAATGAAACGGGAGCAAATTCCTATAGTCGATATTATTATAATCCTGCGGGTGATGAGAACGATGAACACTTTTCAGTACAACTGAGAAGAAATGTGAGCTTCGATGAGAAGTCAAGTGTAGAAAACTGGTGTCGTACGGTAGTCTCGAAGCAGTTACATAGACCGTACGGAGATTGTGCCAGTGTGTTCTCAACTCAGATTGATCACTGCAGAATTAAATGTCAACATTTAGGCAATATAAAAACTAATTCTATCATAGGAAACTAGCCGACCCGTAGAAGACTTCCACGAACTCTCGGCAAGAAATTCTCAGTTCATTCGGCACCCCTAAAACTCAATGGCCCTTTCATTGTTATAAACAGCAACCCCTCTTTCCAAATTCTTTACTTTTCCTCACGTACAACCCTTGGAGTCCCCTTTCATCCCGTTGAGGGAGGATGATTTTCTCGCCGGGGTGAGGTCTTCCCCCACTATATTTATTCGCACTTTTTCCTGTTCATCATAACCCTGTCCGCTTCGTCTGTCAAGACCATCTCCATCACTTTGCGTGCAAGCCTATGGGTGAAATATACAGATGTGGATACGGGATGGTAACGTCGCAACCAGCGGCATCCTTCCGATTCCAGAATAAGCCATCCTGTTCTGTCCCACCATGATAGGATCCCGCCGGTTTCACCCTGCTGCAGTTAATCTCCTTCGCAAGGAGGAAAACGGGTCTCCAAATGTTATGCCTGCGGAACATTATGCGGAATCTCTCGATTGGGAACGACCTTTGGTAAAGCACGCGTATAATCGTGGGAAAAATGACCGCCAATGTGTTACAAGTTGAGGTGATCACGGGTGCGCTTCGTGGCAACGTTAATTTGCTGGAAAGAGTTTCACTGGACATGTAACATGGACGTCACATTCGGTTCAATCTTGTACCACATCTGCAATACCACATTGTGGTTCTATATCAGCAAGTTCTTCTTTGACTGTCAAATCTGTTTGTCGGGAATTTTACTATGAAATAAATGTCCGTTTCATTCCCACGTGTTTCGCGTTTCGTAATATCTCATGGTTCCTGCCACATGTAGGAGGTACTCTTAATGAGGATGCTTAAATCGTCGTGTTGGACAATACGCATGCTCGATATGATGTAATATAAGTCCCTCGCGCTCAGAGAGTGGGGGGGTGGAGAGTAGCAGCAGCGCAGTTGTCGGGACGAGAGTGTGTGGCATCGTGAGTACAGTTGAGGACTGTCGTAAAGACGCGGGACATGTGTTGAACCCCTGATCGAGTTGGGAGTGAGTGCTGGAAGTCTTTACGTCGCACACTGACATCCATTCAGGTATTGATCCTTTTGTATTCCTTGTCCATCAATCATCTGATGCAATAGATTCCAACACGGTTCTAAATATCCCTATTCTGATCCCTACTGCTATTGATCTCACCCAATACTGGTTATCTCAATAAATGCACTGTGTTACAAACGAGGAGTCAACGTAGTCATTATAATCTCGGACACGCTGGTGGTCCGTTCGTGAGACATTAATGTTAACACACGTCGGAGCCGCCTACACACATTCGTTCACTTGACCCATGTCCAACTAATTTTTGGCTATTCGTGGGAATACCGGCAGGGATAGCACGCTGTGCCTCTTTAAGGTACTGTATAAATGTTTCACCGAGAACTGTAGATCAGGTTTTGGCAGCGAGAATCTGGCTAAGACTGTTCTTAGTTGATGAGCCGCGCCAAAAAATGTATAGGTCCTTGGGCAGAAGGCTGCAATTGCGGCCACAGGCCGCTAGTCGCCATAGAATTCTCTGAGACAGAACTTACTTAAAATTGTCATGAAGGGAAATTGCAGGTCTCTGACCCAGGTAACACATAACATTGATTCAACGATGATTGGGTGTGGATTGAATGTATCACTGTTGACGGTTGATACCTCCATGTTGTATCAATATTGACTCATCTCGGGGACTGTCACCGTTTATGCACCGACTTTGGCCCAACATCGATTCATTGCTGCACTATTCACGGTTGAAATGTCACTATTAAGTCAGAATCGATTTAATGGATTCTTTTGCGGTACAAAATCCTTCGTGTTTTATTTATACTGTTAGGATGTCTTATATACCAGTTTTATATACCCATACGTTGCCAAGACTGCCCTATTCCTCAAAATATTCCCCATGTACTGCTGCTATCTAGAAAGAAGGAAAAGGCAAAGGAATGGCAGCATTCTTCTCCTCCTAGAATAAAGAAAAATGCCATGCTTATAGTATTTTGTTTTGGGAGGAGACGAGAATGGCCTAAAAAAATAGTCTTTTTTGGACCAAGTTCAATGATCAATGCCAACATATGCGTATATCGTCAGACGCTAAAAAAAAACTCAATAAGAAATTGAGAAGAAAGCGACCCGAAATAATGGAACACTCATAGGTGCTTGTTGCGTAACAATGCTCACCCACAGACGGCATCCAAGGCTGCACAGTCCATTCCCCTTTTTCAATGGACTGTAATGACCCACCTTATCGTTTAGACTTCACCCCCTCGGATTTTCATTCATTTGGACCGATGAAGGCATATCTAAGAGGAGGAGTGCATTTTTATTAATTTTGGACACAAATTCCTACGTGATAAATATTTCAAAAGTTCTAGATCTCCTCTTTTATTAATCGTATTTATGTTACAGAAATGTTGATATGTGATCCTGCTGTGATCAATCTTAGTTGAGAGTACACTGGCGGCATTTCTGTGTTGTCTATATAACTACTTCCAGACTACCTTGTCACCAGTTTCTGGTCTTGACTTCCCATCGAAGCTCACATTTATTCTCAGTTATACTGAGAAGTACTCGTCGTACTCATCATCCGCCGTACTCGTCATCAGCGATAAATAAGACATTGGGCATGAGCTGGGCCTTGGTGGCAGTTCCCAATTGCTCTTAATCGTGATTCTTTTTCATAAATAAATATTTTCTCCAGCAATCGTCATCCAGTGAACAGAATATAAGTTCACCATCAAAACACCCCGTGGGTACACGGGCTTTCGACTAGTTCATCATGGAGGCAAGACCATGTACTATTCCTCAGCAGCCAATTGGATCACTGTCTGCATAATTTAGGGCATTTTGGTACGGAAAGACCAAAGCGACAGCTTCCGAATGGCGAGTCATTTTCTGTTACAGTTCCTAGAAGTGGAAAAGCCAGCCAAGCACCTTTGCCCCTTCACTTCATTCATACTCTTTAAAGACAGTCCTATTTGGAATCCACGATGCTTGAAACATGCCAATTTATTTTTCCTTCTCTCTCATGGATTCAGTTATATAGGTCACCTGACCTTGGTGCCGTGGTCTTCAAGGAAATCATTTTTGAACCCATCGCGGAAGATGAGATGGCGAAAGTTGTTGCGTTTACTAATACGTACCTCTCCAGAAAGCATATATTACTTGGATTGCGATAGTTAATGGAGGGCGAGAGCTTACATTGAATATTTTTCCTGAGAAACAAGAAATGTAGCCCTGTAGCCTTGTTTTCAAGGCTACAAAGATAGATCCTTATGACTCGGGAAACATACGATGTACGACTAGGCATCTCTGGAGATATATTGGGGAGGGAATGTTGACCAATTTATCCTCATGTGAAGATATCCTTCTTTACACTATGGTCTGAAACTAAAAAGAGCTCGACTTCTTGCTTCGATGAAAAATCCACGGATATTTTCTTGTTGAACTCGGAACTTTTTTCCCTAGAATGACAATCGTTGGTCCTTGGTTTATTGCTTAAAACGCATGCTAATGCATAATTATGCAATATATATACTTGTAAACATAATTATGCATCTACCAATTTTTTTCATTTTCCTACAGTAACCCACGCGAATTCTGGAGTTTTTTTCTTGGCCTCATTAAAGTACACCCATAGATCTTCGGCATACCCCAGTCTTTATTTACATATGCTTACTCATGCCTGAGACAACTATCAGTGTCATCGGCGAGGCTGACAACAGTTGTAGCATTGTCTCAAAAGTCGTCGTCCTTGGTCTTCATGAAGAACTCGGCGCCCGTAATGCTGTTGATGTCTGAACCCACCTGGAACCTCTGCAACACGAATGAATCATTCAGCATCTTCGCATTTCGGATCTTATTTAGAGATCCCCGGAGGGAAGCGATCATTATTACCTCCTCTACTGGGAAGATGTATCCGTGCTCCACCGACCATGCAAAGTACTCGTCATTCCGGTCTACTATGTGTAGAATGATGATCTCTGTATTACTCAACATCGGGTCTCCCTTGTCAGAAACCTTTTGCCGAATGAAATATTTCCCGAAATGCTTAATCATTGCATTTTTTATAATTTGGGAATTTACGAGAATTATAGCTTGTTTCCCTACACTTCGACCAGCGAAGGATATTCGGAATAACTTAAAATCATTCAAAGTAAGGGGAAGCTTTTCATTGGGATATTTTAAATATCCATTATAATAGGTAGTTGTGGAAAGTGAATTTACCCCTTCGAGTCGTATAGATAAACGAATAGAAGTAGGTATTACTATGAGACTTGAAACCTAGTTTCTTCCCACCTGAAGGCATTTAAAGGGCGTACCTTAACTTCCACCTCGTATTGACCACGTCGTCCAGCGAAGTCCATGCCGGCCTCGAACCTGATGATGTATGTTGTAATGATGTCACTGGTTAGCTCCATCATCAACTCCACCAAACCGGTGGCGTCACCAGGAATTGCACAGTCCAAAATGCATTCTATCCTCACGATTTCGGGCTCTAAATCTGTGTTGCTCGTCCCCGGTTGATCAAAATCGCTTACCCTCACCGACCCCACCAGGGTCTCTCCCTGGTCATACCATGGCAAAACTGGCTTAATAATCATAACGCATTGTGCTTGACTGTCGTATAGGCATCTCATCTATGCTCATTACCGCATTAGTATTCTCGCTCCCGAAGATTTCTTCGATATTAGAGAATTGTGGAGGATTATCATTCACGTCCAGGATTGTGATTTCAAAGCTGGTCTCGTTCCGGTGGCTCCCTGGATTGAGAAAACAACCAAGGAAGCATTTAAATTAACAAGGAAAACCGTATATGACAGGATATGCGTTGTATTATCCTTCTGAGAAAACCAATGGGTCTGTATGAAAACGGATTTACTGGCATAAAAAGTATTTCGAAACTTCGGACTCATCGAGTTTTCGCCACTTTCAGGAAAATCGTCTTTTTTTTCCTCTTGGGTACTGCATATCTACCTTTCCAAGCATGATGCCTGCCAATATAATTAAAATATGCTTCGTAAACTGAAGAATCTATTATGAGGAGAGCATAGGAAGCCATGGGAATCAACATTTTACTTTTACGCTGATCATGTCTCCAGTTTTTTTGTGAAAATGTTTGAGTAAGTTCTTAAGATACAGAATTCGCTATTCAAGGATACAGCAATGCTAACATTTGCCTTTGGACATGAGAGTAGACCAGTGAACTAGATTGTCTTTCAAGACAACATACATGAGATGTGACGTATAATAATGTGCTGGATATTAATCGACATCATTTGTAGTAGAAACCCATTCTGCAGGGAATTGAAGACAACCAAACTAGATTTGACTGCCTCATATGGTCATATCACATGCAGATGTATGATCATAGAAAATTGAAGGGAGAGATGCGGAACTTTATGATAGTGGTGAGCACTTCCTCATTCTCGAAGTCAAGTCACCCCTGCATGTGGGAACCTGAAATGCGGATTAGGACGGCATTGAAGACCGAAGGAAAAAAAGAAGCTTCCTGGTTTACTATGGTAGAAGTCATTCTCAGGTAAGTTGGAATGATTCATTTAAAAAATGCCTAAAATGACAAAATTTACCACCAACTACACGTAGGCCTATCAAAAAGTTCCAGAAAAGGGCTTCATGCGCGTAAACTATATGTAAAAGTTAGGTTTCAGTTGGATTGCCTTTGAAATATTTCCCTTCACTCACGATACAGTTTTCCCACCGGTTTTAAAGAGGTTGGAACACAGGCTGCGACCCATTCTAGGCAACTTCTTTCATTGCATTCGGCACAACTGACGGGGGACCGTCTGTGCCTTCGAAGCGACGATCTTCCAGAAAGAATTTCATAATAAGAAAAGCGTGAAGTCAGAAAGCCCGATGTCCGTTGAGTAGGGATGATGAGGGAACAACGTCACCCCACGATTGGCCACAAATCCATGGCACTGCCATGGTTCTGATTGATTACCAGTGATCACTGCGAACAAGCTGAGAAAGTGTCTACTGGGTGTCCTCATTAAGGCTCTTCGATGGTCGTTCACAGCGTTTGACAACTTCAAGAGATTCCGGCCCTCTTAACACGTTGACGACCAGCCTATTTTTGCTTGTCCGC